ATGCAAAAAAGTGTGTATCAAAGTTGGGATTACAATCGCAGAGGATTGATTGTTGCGTGGATGGTTGCATGCTCTTCTATGATAATGAATATGGTAAGAATGATGACGCGTTGCTTGAATGCAAATTTTGTGGAAAGTCAAGATATCAACCACGTAACACGGGAGCAACTACTACAAAACAAGTTCCTATGAAATCAATGTTCTATTTGCCATTAATTCCCAGACTACAAAGAATGTATGCCTCAACACAAACTGCAGGACAAATGACATGACACTATCAGAACATGTCGACGAATGGTGTTTTGCGTCATTCATGCGATGGAGAGGCTTGGAAGCACTTTGATAGAGTATATCCTGACTTTGGTATCGAGCCATGCAATGTACGACCATTTTCGAATATATACGGATTTTTGCCCGTATGTAATCCGTATATAACCAAGTATTATATATGGATTTTGGGTCTTATATACGGATTTTTGCTGTATGTAATTCACTTTTTTCTTGTAGTGGCACCTTCAACATACACTTGGTTATTCCGACCATTTTCAAAAATTTTGAAAGAATATCAAAGCAAACTCTGATACCAATTCTTGAGATTGGTATCGCGCAACGGAAAGTTAAAAAAAGGTTGTTCGGACACAAACTAAGAGGGGAAGAGTGAGTTGGTTCTATTAAAAATTTTGTTTTCCCTTTAAAGATTGTTTCGAATAAAATAAATTAAAGCAGAGAAAGGATGAGAATATTCACACAAACAATTTTTATACTAGTTTGAATCAAAAGATTCTACGTCTAGTTGTTAATCACTCTAAAAGAAGTGATTAACTTTTTCAATAAAGATAGTTCAACAATACAAGACAAGTGAAAACAATATGAAGCAGAAAACACCTCTCTTAACCGATAAGAGTTGATAGCAGCACCTTCCTTTGACACACAATGGAATGTAAACAGATTGAATCATCTTGGTAGAGAACCGCTTCCACCTTAGACACACTAAGGTTAACTTCTCCTTCTTCAAGCATTTGATCAGTCACAGTTAAACACTTAGAGCTTCCCTAGAACCGATTATGTACTCTGTAATAGTTTAGGTAACCTTCTTAGAGTTGTGGATAACTCTATTTATAGCCCAAGGTTCGTGTAGGGTCAGAAACTGAAAAGGCAGCTTTCAATTGCCAGTAATAATCGATTTCTAAAAGTGATAATTGATTAGTTTTTGTTGTTATAAGGTTTTCAAAATAGTGATAATCGATTATCATTAATGATAATCAATTATTGTTGAACCCTGGTCAATTATAGCTTTCGGTGATAATCGATTAACCTTAGTGGTAATGGTCTTTGTCGCAAGTAAGCTATATTAAAAAGAATTTACAAGACTCTTAATGGTTTACAAGTGAAAGTAAATGCCTAATACAAAGTTTTCTACAAAAATGCTTTAACAATGTATATAAATAGGTCTTCAAGGCTTTAAGTGCATCATCGTCAAAATCTCTTCAAAGCATCAATGTTTCTCATTGGTAACACCAATATGAGACATAAAAATAAAATAAAAAATGTTTTTTTTCAAAAATAGTAATTTCAGATTTCAAAAAATGGTTTTTTTTACATAGAATGAAAATAAGATAAAATATATTCATTTTATAACAACTAAAAAAATTCTTTAAATTAAAAAAAAATCAAAAAATAAGTGTTTTTAGAGAATAAAAATCAAAATATTTTCATATCTAAATATATTTAAACATTTATTTAATATCTACAATTTATTATTCCTATTTTCCTTAAGTAGTTTTTAAACTTTCAAAAATCTACAAATTCCATTCCTCGATTTTTCATATGTTTTACTATTTAATTTTTTATAGTTTTTAATTAAATTTCTTTCGAGTTTTTCTATTTTGGTATTAATAGAAGTGAATGACTATTATTTTTGTGTTGACATTGTGTCTCCAAATGAAAAGTAAAAAAAATAATTTAATTAATTTTTAAATCTCTCATGAGTATTTTAAATTCAGTTTATGTTGAAATTTTTAATTAAATAGTTATTATCAATTAAAATGATTAATTGATTTTACAATATCAAATAGCAGAATTTGAATCTTTTGTTGAGTTCTTTTTATTGTCCTGTGCTTTTAAGATAACTATGTATATTGATTTTGATATATTTAAAATGTGCTTTTAAGATAACTATGTATATTAATTTTGATATTTTAAAATAGGTTTAATCATTTTGGAGGTCCTTATTTGTGCATATTCGTATCAATTAGGTCTCCGTATTTTGAAAGAGTTTAATTAGGTCTCTTTTTATGTAAAATTAAATCAATAAAGCTCATGACGTAAAATTCTGTCTGACGATGTTAAATGTGTTGCCTGGTGGCATGGTGGAGTGACATTTCATAGCAACGTGGCACATAAAAAGGTCCACATAATGAGCAGATGGACGTGGCTAAAGAGGCCTTGCCACATGTTAGCCCCTTCCCCACCCAAAATTAGGGTTTCAGATGGAAGAGAAGGGGGAAGGCTTCCTACGCTGTCATGAGCGAGAATTCTATGTCGTGAGTTGCTTTCAAGGAAGGATGAAGGATTGCGATTAGGATTTTGGCTTGAAAGAAGTTGACCCTGTGATTTGATACAATGTTTCTACGTTTTATTTGCAAGTAATGGAGAATGAAAGAACTCGTGAGTTTCGTTTCTGGTGCGTTAATGGAGAAAACGAAGATATGTGGGTCGCTCTTGGGTTAATCTGCAGGCGATTCGTGCGATTGGAGCTGCGGGAGGTGGAAGAAGACGTTCGCAATCTGCAGCAGCGGCAACATTTAGGGTGTGGTCGGATCTTGGTTTTCTGTAGATCTGTTTGTGGTTTTCTGGTTATTGATGGTGAAGAAGATGATCTCGTCACTGTAGATGGTGCGACGACGACAACAAAGTGGTTCATGTGGTGCGGCCTAATGCGAGTAGTGGCAGAGGCGGCTTGTTGAGGACTGGTGGCGATTCTAGGGTTTGGCGGCGTCAATGGAGGATTTGCGGTGATGGTTGAAGATGACAGCGATTTGTGGTTTTGATGGTGGTGGCCATGGAGGCTCGCGGCTGACGGTAAGGTTGAGGTGGTGGAGATAGGGTTTGGCGGTGCTAGGATGGACACTACGACGGCTTTGCGATGCGAATTAGGGTTAGGCGGCAGCGCATGACGGTGATGGTGGCGACATAGTTGCGGCACAACGACAAGGATCAAGGAATTAAGGTTTTTCTGGAGAGGATGATGATGTGGCAGTTAACGTGACAGGAATGATGATGTGTCAGAATTTAACTAGTTCATTATGGTTATGAAATGCCACTAGGCAACACATTTAACGATGTCCACAGAATTTAACTGTAGAAACTTTATTGATTCAATTTTACATAGAAAGGAACCCAATTGAGCTCTTTCAAAATATGAGGACCTAATTGACACAAATATGTACAAATAGAGACCTACCAAATAATTAAACCTTTAAAATATATTAAAAACATTTTTAATATATAAAAATAGTGTATTTCGAAGATGCGAAGATGACCGTAAAAAGAGTTTGGGAAAAAACTGAACTCCAAATAAAACACTATAAACTTGATTAATGAAAAAAAAAATGAAATTTTAGAACTCTAATTCTTCTAATTCTTTACTAAATATTTTGTATCTCTATATAATTAATTTGATTTTTATTTTAATATTTAATTTACAAATTGAAATGATGTTATTCTTTATAAAAATAATTAAAACTATTTTTTTTCAAGTTTATGATGTTCAGTGTGACATTGTAAAATCAAATAATTATATCACCTTCAATTGGCAACAAAAAATTCATTTAAAAAATATAAAGATATTCGATAATTAATATAATAATGTTTTTATAAAAAATCAACTTAAAATATCTAAATTCATGAAAAATTTAAAATTTAATTTAATAATTTTTTTATTTTTCAGTAAAAAAACACAAATATCAAAATGTCACCAAAGTTAACAGCAAAAATAATTTAAAAATTACTTCGTCAAAAATATACAAATTTTGAATATCTTTTTAATAAGACTTACTTAAACATATTCAAATATAATATAAATTTAAAACTTAATTAAACTTTAAATTATAAAAATAATTATTTAAAAATATTCACACAACCCAAATTTTCACATTATAATCAAATAACTAAATATATTTTCATTTCATTACATTCGTTCACAGGATTAAACCTTTTTGTTTTGGTAGATCATTAATTTTAAACGTTTGCTTTATACCCTTCAATAATTCATTAACTACTGAGGAAATAACCAAAATCTAACCACTTAAAATTAATAATTATAGATACAATGAAGTAACATGTAATAACTGTTAATAATTTTAGATAGAATGAAGTAACATGAATCATTAATTTCATTCAGATACAATCATTCAGTAATAACCAAGAAACACAGCAGGCATGCATGGCACAAGGAATTTCAACGACAACCGTCGATTTTGCACACGTACCCTTACCGAAACCCTTCTCAGCCATTGAATCCGAATTTCAGTGTTTTACATGACAACTTAACTGCATTTAAAATCCAGGTTTGAAGTCCGAACTACAAATTTCCAAAATAACCCAAACATCAGACACTCACATTACATAGTTACTGTCAGTGGAACGTGCAATGTTTGAGTGAAGCTCTGTTGTGTTTTTTTTTTCGTCCAACCCCTGAATCTGTAAGCTTCTTCTCTTCCAATTTTCCTTCTCAAGTGTGATTTTAGGTTTCAATGTTTGCATCTTTATATTCTCCTGGGTCAATTGTCATATGGGTTGGGACATTTGGGGGTGAGGGAAGTTTAGGGCTTTGAATCGAGGCACATAATTTTCTCGACACTTAACTTCAATTTAGTCATTTGGACTGTGTTTGGCATCAAAGGTTCTCTCGGGGTGAAATTAAGAAAGAAAAATTGGCAATTTGAAGTTCCTAACCGGGGTTCTCTGCTGTGCTCCGGTGAGAATATTGTTTTTAAAATTTCATAAATAGGGTTACCCTTTTGATGGGGTGATGTGATTTTCTCTGGATATGAGGCTAAATTAATATTCAAGGATTGGTGTTTTTTATTTTTAATTTATTCCAATTTCTTCTCCTCCACTGAACTGTTTTGAGTTTTTGTTATGTTGGCATGTTGTTTATCATGTGCATTCCTTTGTTGGCTTTGTGGGTGTGTGTGTTTGCGGTTACTTTTATGCTTTCATTGTAATTAAGACGGAATATATGAACTCATTACTTCTTCATTGTTGTTCCCATGACTGAAAGATATAATATGGCTCCACTGTGGTTAAATCGTAGTTATCGATGCTAGATAACAGCGTGTGGCAGCCAACCCTGGAAAGGTATAGCGGGATGGCTGTGGTTTCAATTTTCTTCATGCAGACATATAATCAATACTATGTGCATGGTACATGGCTGATGCATGACATACTCATAATTATTAATAAAAGGTCATAATATAGGTCTAGACAAAGCATTCAAATATTGAAATAGTATAGGAAACAGTTCTAGAGACTTAAAACATCAGGAGAAGAGAAAAGAAGGCTGATCCATTGCAGTTGTCGGAATAGTACTGAAAATGATAAAGAAGACTTGAATTTAGAAGTTGATGATTCCTATCTTGGGAACGTATGCTTGAATTATGTTGGTATTTACTTTTTGAATGAATGTATTTAGACTCACGGAATTGTATTGAATGTCATTAATTTTGTGTAACATTTTTTGAGAATATATGTATATACACTATACAGAATAGATTATATATACTATGCACGCAATTTCAAAATATCCAGCTCTAGTGTTTTTGGGGATGGCTGTTACGTGCCATTATCCTGGATTTAAATATCTGCCTTGAAATTCCTTTCCATTGTAGCAAGTTTCTATGGTTTAAGTTTCTATGGTTTAAATACCTAACTATGTTTTTTCAATCTCCAGGTAGGCTTCAGTTGTTCATTTTATCAGAGTGTAAAGCAGTTTGTGCTTAGGCAATAATAATTTTGTATATTTAGTTATTTACTGTAAATAAGATCGGTATGGGTGACGGAGAACCAGTGAATGAGGTTTCTAAGGCCGATTCCAATGGAAAGAGCTTGCAGGAAAAAACTTTGGAAGAAATTACTGAGAAAAAGGACTTGGAAACTGATGGAGGAAAAGGTTTGGAGAACAATGGAATCAAAGAGAATATTGTCAAAGAAAATGATGATAAGAAAGCTGATGGTGTAAAAAAGGTAGAAGAGGACACAAAAACAGTTGTTGTGGAAGAAGAAGCAAAAGAGGATCAGAAAAAAGATGGGGTGAAAGAAACAAAAGAGGATCAGAAAGAAGATGGGGTGAAAGAAACAAAAGAGGATCAGAAAGAAGATGGGGTGAAAGAAACAAAAGAGTATCAGAAAGAAGATGGGGTAAAAGAAGTAAAAGAGGATCAGAAAGAAGATGAGATGGAAGAAGCAAAAGAGGATCAGAAAGATGGAGTTGAAGATGTAAAAGAGGATCGGAAAGATGGAGTTGAAGATGCAAAAGAGGATCAGAAAGAAGATGAGGTGGAAAAAGTAAAAGAGAATAAGAAAGCTGATGAAAATGTGGAAGAAATAAAAGAGGATAAGGAAGTTGATGGTGCAGAAGTAAAGGAGGGGAAGGAACATGATGTGAAAGAAGTCAAGGAGGATAAGGAAGTTGATGATGTGAAAAAAGTAGTAGAAGATAAAAAGGGTGATGATTTGAAAGAAATAGAGGAGGATACGAAAGCTGATCGTATTTCTGAGAATGATGACATGGATGAAGACACTGGTGCAACTGAAACAATGGAAGGTAAACAAGAAAATGAAAAAGTGAAAACTGATGAAACAGAGGTGGAGGCTATGGAAGTAGACGGTGGCATTAAGGAGAAGGAGGAGAGTGATGAAAAGGAGAAAATTGGAGTGGCCCTGGAGGAGGATGAAGATGAGGATAAGGATAATATTGATAAGTCAAAAGAAGACAAGGCAGAAGATAGTAAGGCTGAGAAAGGACCAAAGAAACGTGGGAGAGGGAAGAACAATGGGGAGAAAGTGAAAGATAAAAGGAAGGAACTTAAGAAAATTGAGCCAAGGACTCCTACTATTGATCGCCCTGTGCGGGAAAGGAAATCAGTTGAGAGGTTGGTAGCATCAATTGATAAAGATGCATCCAAAGAATTTCACATTGAAAAGGTAATTGTTTTAAGTTTCACATTTGAGATAATTACCTTCAATTATGCATTTATTATAACTTAATTTGTTTACAGCTTCTCTTTCAAATTGCAGGGTCGTGGTACACCCTTAAAAGATATACCAAATGGTATTGTGCTTTCCTTTCTGAATTCTTCTTCAACAGTGGTCTTTTAATTGTGTTCTTTATATACTCAAGCCATCGGAAGTTAATCTAATGCCTGGTGTACTTGCTCAAACATTCCTCACATTTTTCCTAGGTTGACAATATCTAGATAAAACTGTACGATTTGAGTTTGACATATATCATGCAGTAAATAAGCCACAAATTTTGTTTATATGCATTTCCAATTGTAGTAAAGAATGTGCCATTTGTAAAGATCGTTGATTTAAGATTGTGAAATTGTAGTTGTGTTGTGTCCCTTCAGTTCAATGATTATGTGAGTCAATGATATATGGTTAACTGCATCTTTCCCCTCAAAATATTGAGCCTCTCACCCTCCATATTGTATTGAGTTGGTGTTCCAGACTAACTACAGTAGTCATTACTTTGATTATACTATTGGCCAAATTCACTACCACATACTGATTTGATTGTTTTGTGAACTATAATCTATTTATAAAATAGTTACTTTTTCCCTGCCTTTGCCTAGTGAACGAGAAAAGCATTCTTGTATATATATCCCTTTTCCCTCATACTCTAACTTCAATGACAATAATAATGATACAAACTGGGAACTATATTAATCCCTTCCTCTCACTCTTAATGGAAAATGAGATTATTAGCTAATTATAGTTTATCCATATTATTTAGTGTCTTTTTTCTAATGTGTCTCTGGAATCTTTAGCATTCAAGATTGTGGGAGAACAGAGTGGAGTATTAAATTGACCAGAATTTATTACTTATAGGAAAAGGTTCCTGGAACAGATAAATAAAATTGAGCTGATATATTGGGGATATTTTGTTTTCTTATATGCTGTGAAGTGTGCATCCATGTACATGTCTCCGCTTTTTCTGAACAGCTGATAACTTTATGACTCTTGCATTTTTTTTTCTCTAGTGGCTTTTAAGCTATCTAGAAGGAAGACTGATGATACCTTCAAATTGCTCCACACAATTCTCTTTGGAAGGAGAGGGAAGGTATGCCTTTCTTATAATTTTTTGTTTTATACAGTTTTTGTATTATTCCACCACAGTATTGGAGGATATGCAATAGTGCTCGCCAATATTGTTAAAAAGTTAAACACTCAAATCTTACCTGGTGCTGTCACCCTAATGTTATTATGCCTTCATTTAAATCTTTTCTCAACTCTTTTGCAGGCAATTCAGATCAAGAGTAATATATCGAGGTTTTCTGGTTTTGTGTGGCGTGATAATGAGGTAATTATTACCTTTATATAATAAAAATTTGGTACTCGTAACTTGGATCTATATATCATAAATTAAAGTCGTAGAGTTTTGTTTATAGTAACTTCTTTTTTTAATTTCTTGCTTTTCTGGTTGAAGTGCTCTTCAAAAGTTCTAAAGTCCAAATATTGTTACTGCAGGAAAAGCAAATGATTAAAGTAAAAGAAAAACTTGACAAGTGTAATAAAGAGAAGTTACTGGAATTCTGTGATTTGTTTGACTTAACAATTGCAAGGGCAACAACGAGGAAGGTGTGCTGGTTAGGCATTAGTGATGCTCTTTTACTAATACCATTTAACACAGATCTATCATCATTGCTTATAATTTTTTCCTTAAGCAGGAAGATATTATTACTGCGCTGATAGACTTTTTAGGTGCTCCTCATGCAACCACTGCTGTGTTACTTGCAGAAAAAGAGAAGGTTTTAATTGTTTTTTTTTTTGTTTCAATTTTTTTTCCGTGATATTGTGATAATTTTTTTACCTAGGCAACTATGTTCTGGTCACAGCACTCATCCTATTTTATGATTTAACAAAGGGAAAAAAGCGGAAGCGTTCTGTAAAACGGGGTTCATCAAGATCTGGGACAACTTCGAGACGTTCTGCAAAGGTAATATTTCACTCCTTTAACTTAACGGATTTAAAATGTAATTTAAGCAATGAACTATGATTTGTGTTTCAAAGTCAAGTCTTGCAGTAGAATGAATACCAGTGCTGCATTCTTTTGGACTAGCATATTTATCTCGCTTTTGCTTGTTTTATACTCTTCTTTGCTATTCTTACTACCATGGAATTGTCCTTTGTCCTATTATTCCATGACTCTGTGTGTTTGATTCACTAATAATTGAGGAAGGAAAATACTATAAATACTTATTCGTAGTTTGATTTTAGATGTGGTCACAGGGAAGCACAAAAGCATGGCTTACAGGTCAATTTAAAATTTTTGCTACTTACTAAATCATGGGACATATTTTTTCCAAAGGGACAGGGTTATGACAAGTCAAAACATCTCATTTTCTTTCAACTTATAACTCACTTCTCTCATGTGTTCCTTTCACTCACACACAGATAAGTACACCATAATAAAACTGTATGTGCACAGATGATCAACTTCTAAAATATCTGATATCCTTTTAGTATTTTTCCTGTGGTTATATCTGGATCAATATAGATGTAAAATATTGAGCTATATATGCATCATACAACATAGTCAATTGTCATTTGAATTGTACAATCTTATGATTCTGTGATTTTTCCACCCTTGGCGATCTCGATCCTGAATGTAAATGGAAATTTGTGGGATCATTATAATTTGTTAACAAAATCAGTCATGGGAATTTGCAGTTTTGACCTTTTGCTGAAGCATTTCCAACTTTTGACGTAAGCCCTTCACTTCAGCCAAACCTATTGCCTATGTTCTGTCGTTGGAGAGTCTATGTTCTGCATCTGGTCTACATTTCTGTCAATGCAAAATGCTGGGTGAGGAGGTGGTGGTTGATGTGAGAAAAGACTAGTTTTTTTTTTCTTGGTGATATAAGTTGAAAGCTATAAGAGAAGGGACAAGGGTTTTCTAAAAGTGAATATAGTTGTACTGGCATAGAGATCTAGAGAGACAGAACCATTGATGAGATTTAGGAGAGAAAAGGGAGATCAAGTGTTTTTGGAGAGGATGAGTGGGACAACTGGGATTTGGGAATTCGGGTACATCAATCAATGGGTGTGGATCAAGTGAGATTGGGTCAGACCAGAGGACAGATCATACCAGACTAGGAGAGTGTTTCAGAACCCTAAAGAAAATATTGATTTTTGGGTTGATCAACCCAGTCCATGGGTGGGTGTGAAGCTTGAATAAGTTTACCAATTTGATGGTCTCACAAGAAATCCTAGTAATCCTAGGTGTAAACAAGCATGGAAGAAGCCAGAATGTTTTGGGATCATACTTTCCTATTAGAATAATTATGATTTTGACAAAAGTGGTGGTATAATTTGGTATTAGTTGTGTGTATTCTATAGCATTTCATGTTAATCTAATCCCATATTATTCACAATATAGTATCTACATAAGGGATATGTGCAGTTTCAGTTTGTTTTAACTGGTAGCTTCTTAGTTAATTTGGTTTTCTTTTGCCCAACTTTTTGGCATGTATTTTTCAGAGGCTGAAGAAAAATGAAGATTCTTCAGTAGTGCGGAGACAGAGTACAACTGACACAGAGGATGAGTCAGAGGAAGACGAGAAAGATGATGAAAATGAGGAGGAAGATGAGAAAGATAATGAAAATGGTGTTCCTGAAAAATCTGAGGATGAAACACCGGAGAAATCTGAAAGTGAAGAGAAAAGTGATTCTGGGAGTGAATCTGAAGACATGAAAGAAAAGAAAAAACCTTCTAAAACGTCATCGACAAAAAAGGAACCTGCTAAGAAAAGTAAAATCGAGAAAATTACAGTTGCCAATAAATCTCATTCACCACCGAAAAGAGCACCTAAGAAACCTTCATCCAATATCTCAAATTCTGAGGATGATAATGACGGAAGTCCAAATCCAAAGGTTTTTTCAAGGAAGAAGAAAAACGAGAAAGGAGAAAAGCAGAAGACTGATGATGATAGCAATGAAAGTCCAAATCCAAAGGTTTTTTCAAGGAAGAAGACTAATGAGAAAAAAGGAGTGCAGAAGAGGTCAACAACACCTACTAAGTCTGCCTCCAAAGAGAAAACTGGTAGATATCTTGAGTTCTCATTTTCTTTTGTCATTATTTAATTTTAAAATGTTTATAACTTGGAGGCCTGTTTGTGTATTAAAAAATATTTTTTAGCTGAAAACAAATATTCAAGTATTTCTACTCGTCACATTTATTTTCCCATTTCCATTTGTTTAAATGGTGACGTTTTTTAATTGGAAAACTGATAACTTAATGAACTTCAACCTTGTACATTTTAAAACATCTTCCTGTTGTATCAAGCAGAAAAGGTTGCCAGAGGAAAGAGCATGAAAAAGGAGAAGCTGAGCCCCAGTGATACTCAATTGCGTGAGGCAATATGTGAAATTCTTAAAGAAGTGGATTTCAATACGGTAAGATGTTGAAATAAACTTTACTTAACTCAGTAACTAGCTGAATTTTTATGTTTAATACATAGCTAAAACTTGTGGGACGCAATCTTGTATAAAGTAATCTGTGTAGTAGATATTAGAATGTTGCACTGTATGTGATAGGAATAGGACTGATTGCACTATAGAGAAAAAACGTCGTGGTAGCACCTATTGTAGTAAAAACGATAGAAACTCGCATTAGCTGGTTTGGCATGTGGGAAGAAGATTTGTACAAGCTCCAATAAAGAAAGTAGATCAGATGGAGAGTTTCCCGATTGCTAGTGGTAGAGGGAGATCCTACTATAGGTGAAACGGTTAAGAAGGGTTTAAAGGTGAATAATTTGTTTATATACATGATTTACAACAAAACATTATGGGATCAATTGATCTAGGTATCTGACCCAGTCAGCGAGTAAAGACTGTTGTTGTTTGTAACGCATAGATAAAGCACTGAAAAACTATTTATAAGCTTCTTGTTCTACTTCATAATGTATTTTAACTGAGATACGGTCAAAATCCTCCTTGAAAGCTTGACAAATAACACTAGGTTAAGATATCTTGGTATTCTCTCTGTCACTGTTACTTGAACATATTTATTTTCCTTTTAACCATTGTGTGTGTGTGTGTGTGGTGTGTGGCATGACCCACTAATTGATGCTTTAATCATTTACATAATCTGTCAAGTTGGTGAGACAGATGATTAAACGTGTGTAGTACTTGGCTCGCAGTTTAGAATGTAGCACTGGCAGCAGATTTGTTACATATCAAACCTCGTAACATGTTTTCATTTATACAAGTCCTTCATATTCCATTCCGTGTGGAATTTATAGAATTCTTATATGTAATTTTGAATGTCATTTATGATGTTTTGCCCGAATGAACCAGATAATGTCAATGTTGTATTTAGTATCTATACTGAATGTTCTCTCTTTTTTCTAAAATTAAACCCCTTTTCCTCTTTTGCAGGCCACGTTTACTGACATTCTGAAGCAACTTGGTATGCACTAAGGATCCTTTTTACTTTTTTTCTTACTCAAATGCATAATTATAGCTATACCTTTTCTCAATTTCAACTATGAGATGGTGGTACATTTGTTCCTGTAGTAACAAGAGATCTATAGTCTGTATCTGATCCTGATTTTTGTATTATTCAAACCTGAACGAAATAATTTTAACTATAGTTTGATTAATATGGTCTTATATAATTTCCTAACTTAAAATTAAGTGCGTAACAAAGTTGCCCTTCATTTTTCAGCCAAGCAATATGATATGGATCTGGCTCCAAGAAAGGCATCTATAAAGCTCATGATTCAAGAAGAGCTGACAAAACTAGCTGATGAAGCAGATGATGAAGATGGAGAAGAGGATACCGAAAAAGATAAAACCCCATCATCAGGTAAGAAGGTTAAAGCCTGATTGATGTGTAGACTTGACTGCTTGGAGATAGGCTTAGCAATGTATAATACTATAACCCTTGTTATACATGCTTCATCTGTACACTTTGATGGGTGGAAGTGGCTGTAACTTATTCTTAGCATCCATCCAATCTGAAGTAAACAAACTTGTACTTTGTCAATTTAGGCTTTTGGTGGGCTGCCAATGTGCAGCTTCTTGTTTACACCAACGGAATTTGTAGGGTTTATATTGTTCAGGAATACATCTGACCAAACTACACAGCTCAAACAATCTGTCTAGTTTAATAAATATTTGACCTCTGAAGTTCTCATCCATGTATGCTCGTGTTGATAACTATTGCCTTTGTTGGTGGATGAAGTCTCTATCTTTCACATCGCAAGATTTTCATGCTCCATCATTTATGTAATGGATTTGACAATCACACACTCCTTCACTGGCGGTAGTGGCAGTCCAGTAGTAGTGATGATCCCCATTTTCCATGTGTCTTGCAATAGCTCCGTTCCACGTTCTATGGTTACAATTCGAGTCTAGATTTTCTGCTAGCTTTTTTGGTGTTGTTTTCTGCTGAACATTAAAAATACAATGATGGTGATACTTTAAAACTATTTTTAATATATTTTAAAACATCAAAATCAGTCAGTATATTTTGAAGGTACAGTAGAAAAACAACACAAAAAATCAGTTTCCCATGATGAAACTCAAATTTGTCCTTGAGCAATCCAAGGTGGGATACAGTGGCCTATTACTTCGAAATTTTCACATTACTCTCCAAAATTTATCAATATCAGCCATGTCAATCTTCTAGCATGGACCAATATGATACTAACATTTGTATATTTTAGTGACTAGGGTGGCACTTTTATATACTTAAATTGTCTATTGTCAATTGTTTTAGTAATGAATTTGGTAAGCAACTCCAATTTCATTATCAACCCTGTTTCTGCAAGTTTGGTTTAGTTCTTTCAAACATGTATGCCTCTGCCATTGTGGTTTGAAAAAGGTTGATTGTGGAATGAAATTGAACTGTAAGTAGGGAAGATTGAAGGATATACACAAGAAATTTCTTGTGTTCAAAGTTGGTGAGTGAAGAAATTGTAAGTGAGGGATTGGATGAGATGAGAGACACAAAAAATGTACAAAATGAGAAAAAGTGACAAACAGCTTCTGCACAAAATAAAATAAAGACTCAAGAATGTTATTTTCTAAGAAAAAAATAATTTTTTAAGTCTCTCTAAATAGAAAAGAAAAATATGAATAACATATATAAAAAATATTCACAGATTTATTATTTTAATATTTTTAGATTGAAAATGCTACTATATTTTTTTATATAGATAGATTGACTCATAACTAATTAAAGTAGCTTTTTAATTTTTTAATTTTTTAATTTTTATCTTCCTATATTCTTTCTTCTTTCATTCTATTTTTGGTCTTCTTCACAGAAAAAAAATATATGATCAATGTGAGTGGAGCAAATAAAAAAGTTTTTTGGTTAGAAATCTTGTCCACTAAGACTAGTGGAACACCAAGAAAATGTAATTATAGAGATGAAGGTGATTTTGACAATGATTTTGGTGAAGATTTGAGGTGTGTAGTTGACCAAGTGGGGACATTTAGAAGGATAATTAATTTAAAGCCATTTGATGCATTAAAGATGAGATGGTTTAACATAAAATATCCTTCACACCTCACCCAACAATTTCAATCATTCTTATTTGAAAATCATTTACGATCACATATGCACACAAAGAAAAATTAAAATGAAAATAATTAAAAAAAAATTCTTATGTTTTCCCTCGTTTTCAGGATAGCTTGATTTAGATTTTATTAAAATACTTGTTTAAAAAGAACTGATTTCCTTTCATTGACGATATTTCAGAATAAAATTTGCTTCTTCAAAACAAAGAAAATTAGTTTAGAATTACTGAAAACCGAGGACACATGCATAAGAAAAAGGGATAATATAAATATAATTTGCTTGTGTTTACATTGTAATTAAAGAGAAGCAAGAAATATACGTTAAGAAAATAGATTTAGAATGAGAAAAGATGTTTACACGTGAGGAAGAAGAAGAAGGACTACTGTCCTCGTATTTACTAGCAGTCCTTGACAAAATAGTGGTGAAAACATAAAAGTTTCAATATGTTTTAATTATTTGGGGTATTAGTATTTTTTGTCTCAATTAAACAAATTATTTCTTAATTTCTTATTTTGATATATTATTTCTAATTTAAGAATGTAGAGGACATTTGTCATATTTAATGATGGTATAAAATAACAATGTCCATAAGTATTTGCAAATAAAATTTACAGCAAATAATTAGTATTCAAAAATATTTATTATTCATACAGCGAATATTTTAATAATCACGTATAAATAGGTTGAGTATAAGTATCATGTTATCCATTAGCAAAAAATTAAAATAAAATTTAATTTATATTTTATTAAGTTAAATTTAATTAATACTAAAATTAATTTATATTTTATTAAATTCAATTTAATTAAAATTAAATTTTAATTTATATTTAATTTATTTTATATTATATTTAGATTTTATTTTAAAAATTAATAAAATATATTGTTTTTAAATATTTGTGGGTATTCACAGGTACCTTAAGGTTTTAAAATATTTGCGAGTAATTTTTAAACAGATATTCGACGAATAATGAGTGAATATTTTTGTTGCAGGTTGAATAGCAAATAGAGAATATTCGTGTTTGACCCAACCTGTTGTTGTGCCTATTAATAATGTAATAAAGAAGATCTCAAGTTGGCACATGAATATAATTGAGAGGTGTGATAGTTTTAATGTCTATTAAAAATTCAAAAATTAAATATGTTTATAATCCCTAAATTTGAATGTAAAATCAAAATTTTCTATCTATTTCAAATTTAGATATATTTTGGCTTCTAAACTTTAAAAATAATTGAATATTGTCTTTTTAATTTAATAACATTAATTTTACTTTTACATATCAAAATTTGAAATAAGACATTTTACTTTTGGGTTGAAATTTAAAAACTAAAAAGTATATTTAATTTAGAATTTAAATATATCTTTTGTAACATCCCAATTTTTTTAGTATTCAATTACAATAAGATATATTACATCCTTAATAAAACAAGACACTTGATTCGAGAAAAAACATATAAACTGTCGTTACAATTATCCAAAATAATATATAATAGCAAGATATATATATATATATATATATATATATATATATATATATATTACAAGGAAATATACTACACTAAAACAAAAGTGTAGTATAGACTTTACAAAACAACACGAAACAATTATAAGTCATACTCTAAACTTCAGCTTTGCCACAAGCTAGCTCCTACCCACCAGAGATTAAAATAACTAGAAAACACTAAAAGGTAAGGTGTTGAATAATGTTGTGAAAAACTTTTTGCCAAAAGACGTTTAACAATCTTGGTGATGGTCAGATGATCTACACAGGTTGTTAAATGCTTGATTTATAAAGTACTATTTAAACCACATGTTCAAAGATAAAATGTTTTCAAGCATTTTAGCAAAGCTACTACAGTATTTTAAGAAAGACGACTCTTAAAGAAAACAACATATGATGACAAGAGCGTTTATCAATGGTTAACTTTTCAAGCACATGCAGTGTTTGTAAATAATATGTTTTGTAAAGATGAAGCAATAAACACACAATTGTTTTATACTGGTTCACTCAACTAAGCTACGTCCAATTCTCCTTTAAGACCTCTTAGAGGGTTTCACTATAATCTCAACAAGATTACAACCGAGTATTAGCATCCGTCCTAGTTACACCTAGTCACTCCTAGTAACGCCTGTTACGCTGACTATAACTAAGTATTAGCACCACTCCTGGTAACACCTGTTACGCCGACTAGAACTGAGTATTACCACCACTCATGATTACACCTAGTCAATCCCAGTAACACTTGTTACGTTGACTAGTTGAGTTTACATATTCCTAGTTTCCACTAGAAAATCGTAGTAACACTTGTTACATTGTCTAATTGAGTTTCACCCACTTTTGGTTTTCACTAGACAATCTTAGTAACACCTGTTACGTTGTCTACTAAGCATTTAACTCAACTAAGTTAATCACCAAGTGTTTGAGTTCTTTTCAGAATGTACAATCAATCAAATTGTTTACAAGTCTTAGACGATAACTCTCACAAAGAGGATGTGTTTACAATACAACTCAATCTAATAGACCTTGTAGGATTTTCTCTCTTCTTGCAAATGTACGCTTATGACTTTATGAGGCTTGTAAATATATTCTCAACGATTTTGTTCTTAAACGAGTATGAGCTTATTTTTTGTCTTTCACGTTGTTAATGTGTTTATCCTTTTTGTTCTTCTTTTCAAGGATTCTTCTATTTATAGGCTTCATGGAAAAAGATATATTAGACAATGTTTGTCTGAAAGCTTCAGATCTTCGTAATCTTTTTGTAGGTAGCATCCATAGGTTAAACTCAGCGTGTTAGAGTATGCACGCTTTTTGCAGTACTTTGACTAAAATAGGTTGTACGATTTCCTCAACACAACTTTTGATGAAAAGAACATTTCATGAATGTTTTCTTTATTTCTAATGTTCACTTCTGACTTATTCATGATGGAGTAGGTGGATGCTTGTAATAGGCATCTACATAAAGTAGAATAGAAATGCATGTTAGTATATATGTCCTTTTTCTTAATACTTTTGTTATTTGAAAAGTTGTACATTTAATGTTTTGCATTGCATTTTCAAAACAATTTTGTAGATCGTTTAAGCACTTTTGACAAGATACCAAGTATTGATTCATAAGGATTTCATGATTGGACGACATTAATATTTGTATCAAGGTATCGTTTAGCCTTTATCAGACGTTTACTTAACAGCGCTTCATTTAATGATCTTTGTTTATGAGAGTGTGTTTAGGAAAGTGTTTTTCAACATATTGTTTTTGGAGTGTTGTTTACAACTTTAGCAGGTTTACCAAAAACATTATGCAGCACATGTTGCATTGTTTGGCAAGATACAGAAGAAGTGCATTTAGCAAATATATTTTTTAAAGATGTGTTTACTCTCATGACAGTGCGTTTACTAAAACATCATTTGATAGTGCATCTATTATTAATATGATCGTTTGGTCCTAATGGGTTTACTGAAACTTTTTCTTTGTTCTTTCAGATGTTGTAACGTTTGTTTCATACAATGTCTTTCATCCAACGATATTATTTTTACAGGGATTATACTTTGTCAATTACTCATTTTGTTTATAGTTTTTTGTTAAATTTCAAAACATGAAAGTGTTAGACGGTTCTGT